AATTATCACCACTAATCGGCGTTACGCCAGCGCCTTTTTTTGGAAGCCTGGCATATTAACTTCGCCCACGCTCCTTTAAATCGTGATGATGGCGGCTTACTTCCTAACGCCTCTTTACGCCTCGTCAGAAGAAAGGCAGCTAATTAGTGAACGTATAAAAGGACCTCTTGTTGCAGTTTTTAGATCACCCCTGATGAAGGCGCTAGACAGGAGTGTCGAAACGTTGGGTCTGTAAATTGTAACTTCTCGGTTGCATTCATTAAATCTTTGAACCAAGGTAGCCTCAAACCATGTCCATACGCTTTGTTTAAGAATTGTTCAAACTAATCAGTTATTCAAGCCGGACACGGACTCTTTTTTAGTCTCCTACTTGTGTTTAAAAACCTTTGCGATCCTTCCGGCAAAAATTCGTTTATTTCTGATACCGACTAAATTATACCGGCCGGAGTTACTAATTAACTTTTCAAGTTGCATCAAGATATTGCTTTCTGAACATATTCATTAAGAATTTTCAAGTTATCAGCACATGCAACACTGGGGTTATAAAAAAGATTGCAAAGTTGAGTACCGAGTGGGAAAACCTAATATAAACTGCCATAAATGAGGAATTATTTCAGCAGTTCGAGTTGGACAGTTTGAAGTTTTGTTGAAAATGATACTTTCCAATTGGATCGTTGGCTTGCCAATAAAGTGATCCAATACTTAACAAATTCCTTTTAGAATATTTATTGAAAGCAAGTTCGAGGTATAGAATTTCAAAATTTTCTGCGTCTTTAAGCCTGGCTCTTTCTCCAACACTGATGATAAGAGATCTTTCTTATTCAACGACCAAGCTGAAATTTTGCATCTTAGTCAGGTCCATACGCTTTGTTTTGTTTAAGAATTGTTTAAACTAATAAATTATTCAAGACTCAGACTCCTTGTTAGTCTCCTACTTGTTTTTTTTAAAACTTTAGCCATCCTTCCGGCAAAAATTCGTTTTATTTCTGATACTCTCTCAATTATAACGGTCGGAGTTACTAAAATTTTTTAAGTTGCAAAGTGGAGACATCAAGATATTGCCTTTTGAACAAATTCATTAAGAATTTTCAAGTTATCGGTGCAGGCAACTGGAATTTAAAAAAAAGACTGAAATAGAAAGTTGAGTACCGAATGAGAAACAAATGTAAACAGCGTAATGTAGACAGTTGAATGGAATGTGAAAATCGACTTTGATGGTTAAATATAACTTTGGCTGTTATTTACATGGTTTGCTAAGTAAAGAAACAGTTTAAGTGGATCATTGAATATTAATTATTGATACATAACTTTCAACTATCACGAAAGTATAATTTTTGTGTTAACTTGGAGTTAGAGTGTTCACATATGACATGTAACTTTCCTCTTAGGAGCTGCTCTCATATAAAATTGATGACACAGGGGCTTAACAGTTTGAAAGGAGCCTAAAACGTACTGGATAGAATCTCATTTTCAGTGTGTCACTTGAATTCATTTCCACCCCTATATTGCATCAGAGGTATTCTTTTCTAACAAGTAGTTTCTGTCATTTCAATTACAATTTCAAATCTTGAAAGGTTCCAGGCTAGGATAACAGTAACAGTGCATTTGGTCATTTTAGATTTCACCCTTGGTAGTTCACTTTTATTTGAGAGGAGTCCCTTTCTGTGGTGACTTGGTTTATAATACTGTTTCAGTTTAGTTACAATATTTTCAGCACAAGTTCTGAGTCAAATCATATTTGATAGTAATATAATTTGAAATTGATAACAGGATTTTGACACAACGTTTTAGTTGTTTTAGTGTCATTCATAGTGACAATGTGGGAACAGCCTTTGTGTTTGTAATGTATTTAACCGTTCAATAGATAGTCAAAAATAAAATAATTTATGCTCTGATAAGTGGCTAGGAGTTCACTCTGTCTGATGCAATTAATTTTGATGATTAGTATTTTTAAGACCTCGGCAAATCATTTTTTTCAAAACCTCACTATTCGACCAGGAAAGCAATAGGGCCGGTCTGAGTTTAATCTAATCTTTAAATCAATAACCAAATCTCTTAAAATAAGAATGAATTGAAGCATCCATGATTAAAATGCTTGGCGATTTCAACAAATCTTAAAACGATACTCAGACACTGAAAACAATTTTCAGTTCAACGCCTGGTATTCTTAAAATAAGATTGAGGTTGTTAAGTTCAAGGACCCAGATCTTGATTTTAATTGATCAACTTTTGGAGTGCCACATGGCCATCTATCTACAAACACATCGCAAAGCGATTCTTAACAACGAAATAGAACCTGGAGAATATAATGAAAGGTTCAACCAATTGTATTTAACACACTCTACACAAAATGTTCGTCAAGACACTACCACGAAAACATTTACTGCTTAAATTACATTACAAAACTTGTTGCACATTCGATCGTTTCATTGCGTTTCAGCGACATTATCGAGTTACGCCAGCGATGCGATATTGCACTTACACAATCCTCAAATGCTTTGATTACTAAGTTTTGGATAGCAGAAGCACTCCGGTCAATTTCTTTCCTCGCATTGTTCGAGTCCTGTCGTTTCAAAGCCCGCTCATAACGTCACATCGCCTCTCCTGCCATGTTTACGCTTGGTTCACTGTCTTCCCCATAACTTACGTCATCAACTTTGAGAGGAACCGCTGACATGTGTGTTCTGAGCCGCCGTACCACGACAACACATCGACCCAAATATAAAGAAAAACTTTTCGTTTTTTGCATGGAAGATTTCCTTTAAGCGGAAAAGAAGGACGTAACATCGTTTTTAGTGTATAATTGAATAAACTATGTTGAAACAAATTACTTGATTTTGGGTTTCAGTTCTCCTTTAACACCGGGTTGGTTGGGACAGGAGCCCGGGGAGCCATATATGGGCTTGACGGATATGTGCCGCTCAACAGGATATGCTTTTTGCCTCTCTGTCTCTGAAACAGGGTTTAGAAAATCACCCTTTTTCTCTGGAAGAGGGTATCTTTTGCTTTAGATTTGACTCTGGAACAGGGTCGCCTTTTCCCAGAATTCTGATTAGTCACAAATCATAAACGGTATAAAAGAAGAAAGTGATTGTCTAAGAAACTGATTGTCTATGAGTGGATAACTGTCTGGAATTGGGTACCTATTTTCACAATTTTTGTCTGGACCAGGGCTGCAAATAAACCTTTTTTTTTCTCAGGGAACAGATCCCCCCAGGACAGTGGCCTTATCTCTGTGAAGGATAAGTTCGGCTGCTGCGCGCGCTACGTGAAATGAGGCTACCATTGAAATGATGTTGCTTATATAAATCCTGACCGACGATTATTGAAATACGACAAATGCATATTATATTACTGGAGTATAGATGTATTATCCAGGTGAGAGTGTTTGTCATTGCTCTTAGATCACGTAAGTTCTAGCCCATTTCCAACCTCGATGCAACGCAATCGTTTGTTTTTGTTTAAATAGCGCCTCTGATTGGTCAGTTATTTTTACCTTGTTACGTTGTCTCAAAATACCTCATGCGTTTTCTCCGATGAATTTGAAGAGCTTGTCAAAGTAATTCAGGTTAAAACAATTCTATACGTTTTAATCCGGCATGGAATCAGATGAATCCATTGATTTTGTAGATTCCGAGGCAGTAAACGCTTATGGATTGGTTGTTCTAAAGAGGAACACGAAAATCCTTGCGAGTATTTCGAAGAAGGTGAAAATGTTGATCCACCACGTTTTCATCCATTCATCATTTTTTTTAAATTGAAGTTTACTATCCCTATTAAATAGGACCAAGAGTCAGTTGCAGGTTTCTGCCTGTGGAGAGCCGGGAGCTTGCGCTCGGAAGAGTGGTCGAGGTTGTTGTGCATGCAAAGCAGCAAATAAGAATCGTAACGCAAACTGTCAGTGTCGCTGACATTCCTGCATAGAAGTGACTAAACCTAAAATAATTAAACGTCCGGCAGTCCGATATTTTTCCATATTTCTCTTCGAAATCCAAAAAATATTTATACGAAAACATTCTACCTTTATTTAAAATCCTCAAGCGCTTCCAGGCAGCCTAAAATTTCGAACTTGATGTTTTTCGCTAACCCTGTTTACAGGGTACGAAGCCATTCAAACGCTTGACACTTAACTTTTCAATGACACGGCGGGATACGGTCCTCAAATAACCCCATATTTCTCTCTGAAATATACCAATTTTTCGTTGGAAAATATTATACTTTCATTTACAATCCTCAAGCGCTTCTAGAAAGTGAAAAAATTCTAACGTCGTCCGTTTCGCTGACCTTGTACACAGAGTGCGAAGAGATCCAAGCGTGACACCAAGAGAATTTTCTTTGGATTCTTCCGGACAAAATTCAAAATACTGTAAGGAAACTGTAAAATGACGAACGGCGAATGTATTTACCGTAAAACAGTTGACTATATGTCCAGGATGGCTCTTGAGAAAGACGACTTTAGAAGGTTTACAGTGATCTGGGAATTTTCGTGATGCGTGGCATCAAGGTTGAAAATGGGCCTTTTAGAATAAGCGCATTCAATAAGTAAGTCTGTTGATCAAAATAACAAAAGAACCGCTATCATCAAGAGTTCCTGATTCTTGTGATGTTGTATTTGGTTTTCTTCAAGGATATTTTCATTGCCGTCTATTGCGTACTTAATCCTGTTTTGTATTCTTAACCAAAAATGATTTGAGCCCTGTCTGAAATTGAATAGCCACAAATGGCAGGCGTCCCCTACTCTTTTCCCTCTCTTTTCCCTCCCTTTTCCCCCCCACCCCCTTAGCAGCACACTCACATTTTACACCTTGCTGCTGCGAAAAGGAGATAAGTACTCTTGTATAACGCTCTTTGAAGTTAGAAAATTGTTGGTGATGTACATGCGTTGTTATGCATACGTTGTTCAGCAAGTCCAGTCTTATCACGAAGTAACAAAAATAGACGGACTTCGTTGTTGGGACACCACAAATGTAAACTGCTAATAAAGTAAAGGCTATAGCAAATTCATCGCGAAAAGAAAATGTTTAATCTCTTATGCTACACTAGTTGCAAACAGTGCAATTGAAATATAAAGTAAAGAAAGTAACTTCCCTTGCACACTGCTGGCCGTATGAAAAAGAAAACACGCTTATAACACTTTAAGAAATCAATGAATATCTAAATACAGCTACTTTTAAGTAATAAGCCGGCTGGTGTGTGTAATTTCACAGCTGGCTCCATCAAATCCTTAAAACAATTTTATTGATGCAGGTAAAGCCACATAGAATGTGGCAGAGGTCGGTTAAATGCACGAAAGCTCCCCAGTTTTAAAAACTTGAACTAATTACTAATGTAACAAATAATGCATGTGTAGTACTTTCTAAAGCTACGTCAAGTGAAAAAGAAAGTGTAAGGAAAGTTCGTTTTTGAGAATGCGGTGGATCAGGTTTGAATTCCATTTGGCAGCCATCTTGGAATCAAGTACGGATAGGTCAAATAATTATCTTCCTTCCTCTTTCGGTTCTTTTCTTGCATTTGAGGCTGAATAACATTCATGAGGTAAGTGTAATAACCATTGACGAGTTTGACGGCCTCAGGATCAAGAAGTTCGTTGCCGTAGTCAAACAAGGAGTCAAAGCGGAACAGCGAAAGCGCGTTACTGAAGCTGGCTTCGATCTGTGGAGTGAAAATAGAAAAAAAATTAGTTTTGACTATCTGATGTTCAAACTTAATCAATGTTCTACTCACCGTCTTTCTATCAAGTGTATCATGGCTTTTTAAATCAGTGGAGTACGAACGCACTAATTCAATAAATTATTTGCTACCGGAGTGCCTGCCTGACTAACCGACTGGCATAAAGGTTGATTGCGTTTACTGACTGCCTGAGATAGGTGTTAATTGCTGACTCCCTGTGCATGATTGACGGGCGTGTAGGTTTAAACACTGTTTGCCTATCTGACTCCTTGGGTAAATTTCTAAATCAGCGACTGACTGACGG